AATGTTAAAACCTATGCCCACTAATGTTAAAGAAATACAGTCTTTCCTTGGTTTTGCTAGTTATTATAGACAACACATTAAAGATTTTGCCAAAGTAACAGGTTGTCTATATAAATTAAGTAGCCCAAACACTGCCTTTGAGATGACAGTAGATAGAGTAGCTGCATTTAATAAATTACGTGAATTACTTACTTCTGCTCCTATATTATTTATGCCTAATCCTAATAAGCCTTATAAATTATATGTAGATGCTAGTATGGAAGGATTAGGAGCTGCCTTACACCAAATTCAAGATCAAGAAATACCAAAAGAAGGAGTCATTTGTTATATTTCTAGAACTTTGAAAGACAGTGAGAAAAAATATGGGGCCAGCCAACTTGAATGTTTATGTTTAGTCTGGGCCCTAGATAAATTATATTATTACCTTGATGGATGTGAATTTGAAGTCATTACTGATTGTACAGCCCTCAAAAGTTTATTAAGTATGAAAACTCCAAATAGACACATGCTCAGATGGCAAATAGCTATTCAAGAATGGAGAGGAAGTATGACTATCAAACATAGAGAAGGTAATATACATAAAAATGCTGATGGACTTAGTAGATGGTCTTTGGAAAATATACCAGACAACCCAGCATGGGACGGAGAAATTGCTGCAAAAATTATGTGTTTATTCCCAGAGGAAAATAATGAAAATAATCCTGCCTTTGATGATAACACTGATGATATTAATATTTGTGGGTTACACGTGACTGAAATGCAAGAAGAATTTTGGGATGAAAGTAGAATTAGTTATGACCAAAATCAAAATTGCTCCACAATAAAAAATATATTACAAAGTAATTTCAAAAATAATGATCTGATCAATTCCTTAGAAGAACCATGGCTTAGCTCATTCAAAGAAAATAGATTCTCTCTATTAGATGGATTAATTTACCACAGAATTAAACATACAAGTGTAGTAGTTATTTGTTTAAAAGAACACATTAATTTATTTTTGAAAGAATGTCACGACAATATATCCTCAGCTCATTTTTCCTTTGACAGAACAATTGAGAGAGTTAAACAAATTGCTTGGTGGCCTAATTTTAGAAATGATACCAAAGAGTATTGTGAATCTTGTGACAGATGCCAAAAAGCAAATAGAGCTACAGGGAAAAGGTATGGATTATTGCAAGAAATTGAAGAACCCAAAGAAAGATGGTCTGTTATTAACATGGATTTTGTTACTGGCTTACCACCCGGAGGACCTAATAATTTCAATGCAATTTTAGTAGTAGTTGATAGATTTTCCAAAAGAGCAAGATTTCTACCGTGTCATAAAGAAGATACAGCAATGGATACTGCCTTATTATTTTGGAATTCTATTATTTATGATGTTGGATGTCCCAGATATATCATTACAGACAGAGACCCTAAATTTACGTCAGAATTTTGGAGAAATTTGTATGATTTATGTGGGACACAACTGAAATTTTCTACAGCTTACCACCCCCAAACAGATGGACTAGCTGAAAGGATGATTCAAACTTTGGAAGACATGATCAGAAGATATTGTGCCTATGGAATGACATTTAAGGATAAAGACAACTATACTCATGATTGGTGTTCATTATTACCTGCACTTGAATATGCTTACAATTCTAGCAAACACAGTACAACAAATAAAACACCTTATGAATTGGAAAGAGGTTGGACTCCTTGGTTTCCCAAAGAAATTTTAATGTCAAAAGCAGTACATATACACCCAAGTGCCTCTGATTTTCATTTTATGATGACCAAAGCTGAAAAATATGCAGCAGAATGCGTGAAATTAGCTGTAGATTACAACAAAACTAGATGGGATAAAACTCACAAAGCTCACCAGTTTAAAATTGGAGACCAAGTCTTGATATCTACATTTAATTTTACAAACCTGACTGGACCTAAAAAATTAAGAGATTCCTTTGTAGGACCTTTTACAATCAAACAATTACACGGTGCAAATGCTGTTGAAGTTATACTCACTGGAGAATTAGAAAGAAAACACCCTACATTTCCAGTCAGTCTAATTAAACCATACAAAACTAGTAATAATGATAAATTTCCTTTAAGAAAAGATAACATCAGAGTTGTAATACCTCCTTTAGAGAAAGAAGAAGTTAAAATTAAGAAGATATTACAACATAGAAAAATCAGAAAAAACAATGAAGACATTAAACAGTATTTAGTAAGATACAGTGGTACCAAAGAAGATGAATGGCTTACAGTTGATAAAATACCTGATGCTGATAAAATTCTCAGACAATACAGAGCTGATAAAAGAAAATAACATTAATTTATTTCTTGGATCAGCCTTTTTTAGAGGGAGGAAGTGTCAGCTACAGAGTACATGTCACAGTACCTTTCATGTACCAAGTAACTGCAACACCTGTACTTATGTACATAAGTACTTATCCATAATGTTGATTACCTTTACCTCTTGTTATCTTATCTTTATTATTAACTTATCTTATTTATCTTACAGTTATCTTATCTGTTAATTACTTATCTATTAAATACATACCTGTGTTCTACATAAGTAATTATCACTTACCTTTCACTCCCTTGTCCGTGAAATACCTGTACCACAAGTTATCCCTCTGCTACAGTATTTTCACGGTCAAATATTATTACAAATAAATATGTACATGTATTAAATAGTAAGTATTAAGTATCAATAGAATTAATACATTCAATACATGCACTGATCACAATTATGACTACATTATTAGAGGATCTGTCAAGTGCAGACATCAAGAGCAATTAGTACATTGATCAACTAGTACACAATTATGATGTCACTTACAGATCATGACAAATAAATCAGTCACTCAATTGATGTGCTCATTCTCCTGGCCAAAGCTCCCTTGATTCTGAGCGCTCATTCTTTCCCCCCTTCAGTATTCTGGAACTTATAATCCGTGCCTCTTTCACTGATTAATCCCCAGAATATTCAGACACCAGTTAAACCAGTTAACATTTATATTGATACAGTACACGTAACCAACATAAATCTTGTCTACATTTATTGTTCTTAAGCTTCAGTACTCTTACTCAACTTATCCACAGTATTCATAGCCTTGCTGAATATTCCCATCAACAATACCTGTTAATCTTCAACTAATTTTGTTAAACCTTAATAAGTATTGTTAGCCCATTCCCTTTTGGGAATAACCAAATCAATCCCAGGTGAGTCTTAGTACCCTGGATGCCTATTAATACCTTGTATTGATCCGGATGCGCTGTTGATAGCAAGCCTCTCAGTAAAGACCATACTGATAGAGTGAAACCTCCTCTTTACAGGACTGGTATTAATCACCCACTACCTAACACTCACCACGCTCAAAAACTTCAGTCAACTCATAGTAACAACCTTTTTACTATTAAATACTCAGGTTAGTTACCCAGAGGCTGACATCCTCACACCTCAGTAGGTACTACAGACACAAGCTCATCAGTAATAGTAGTCTAAGATAAAGTAGAACCCAGCCACACCTTTATTCTTCTTTTTCTTAGTGTTACACTCTTCCCATCAGCACTTTACAGGAGATCAGTCTCATCAGCACCTGTAGTATCAACTTACATTAGTACTAGTGTAGTTGTCTATATCCCTGGTTGATTAGTTCCACACCGCTCCACGCAGAACTTCAACCAACCCCACCAACATATATCCACCTTCCTTCATCTGGGTCGTCTATCCCATTCCCTTCGAACAAAAAAGATTCAACTCAGGACAATGGTCAGGATACTGCTCTGGTTGACTCTAAGCCCGACAACAATCCGCCTGTTGGCTCTAAACCCACCGGTTCTGCTAACCCGACTGGGGGACCTGTGTTGTCACTTGATCAAATTGTCAAGAACAAGATCAACAAGATGGGACTATCCGGCATCAAAAACAAACTGTTGAAGTTTTTGCTCATCTGTAACTAGAGATCGTTTGTTTGTACTTGGGTACCTGTTGAATTTTTTCAATAAATAGGTACCAAGTACCGCACCAGGCACCTCCTGGAGGGTACCGGCGGTACTTTTGGCGGGTACCGCAGGTACCTACCCTCTCTTTCTAACCTAGGTTTACTTTCAGATTACCAAGTCACTTTATTATTATTATTTTTTTCATATTTATTGTAAAATATCAGTCCCAAGTCACTTTTTTTCCATCCTTTCATATTTATTGGGAAATGTTGACAACAAATTGGAAAAATCCTACTTTGTTATTATATTTTCATATTTATTGAAAATATCATTCCCAAGTCACTGTTTTTCCTTTTGTCATATTTGTTGTAAGACATCTTAAACTAATTGGAAGAACCTTACTTCATTATTGTTATTATTTTCATATTTATTGTAAAATATTACTCAAGTCACTTTTTTGGCATTTTTTTCATATTTGTTGTCAAGTATCTACATCTAATGGGAAGAATCTTGCCTTTTTCATATTTATTGTAAAACATCAATCCCAAGTCAATTTTTTCATTTTTTCAGATTTAATATTTTATTTTAAAGCTTAAACTGCCTACAAATTATATCTAATTAGAAGAATCTTCATTGTTGTCCAAAACTATCACCTTCCTTTTTGATTTTTGGTTAGACTTCTTGTTATCCTTGAGTCCCTGTTTCCATGTAGCCAAGGTACCTTCTTGTGTTCTTGGAGTAGAAGGCCACCGTCATTTTGGTAGGGAAGTGAGGGGGTACCTGTAGTGGTACCTAGGTACCTGTTCAATTTTTCACAAAAATAGGTACCAAGTACCGCACCTGGCACCTCCCGACAGGTGCGGGGCAGGTGTGAAGGGTACCCCCCAAGCGGTACTAGGTACCTAGCAAAGGGTACCGCGGAACGATCTCTATCTGTAACCTCATGGGCAGCAACTCAACCCTTGGTGAGACTGGCTCAGCAATAAACTTCCTCAAATTTGTTCAAGTGGCATCAATTGGGAAAGGAGGTCACTCCACCTCTTGCCATCAATGGGTCTAATTTCCCAATGTGGGTGGCTGCCCTCAAGGATCTTGTTGGTCGTGTGACTCAGCAGTCTGATTATTTGAAGAAGGATTTCTCTTTGGTCAAGGCTCCATTAGCAAACGGAGTTCTTGCAATCATCTGCACTTCAATCAATGTCTTGCTGCGCGCTTCCCACAAAGGAATGACCGCGTATGGGGCCTATCAATCTCTTAAAGGAGGATTTGCTACTTCCTCCTGGTCTCTCCTCATCAGTCACTGGGCTGACATTGGTAAGGCCCCAGGCGCTTCAGATTCCATAGCAATGGGCTATGAATCTCTCAAGATGTGCCTGCTAGACTTGGAGGAGCAATTGGGGGGATGGTTGACAGATAATTTGCTATCCTTATCCTTTCATTCCAGCCTCAAACAATTTCATCAGCCCCTTGCTGATGCTTTTGACTGTTGTATCGCCATTCATCCAGAACTCAAGATCTCATCTACCAATGTTCTCCACACGGCCTCTTGCCACCAGCAGGCAAGCACTGCTGCGGCTCCATTGGCAATGTAAATCTCTTCTCAACAATCTGGGGCTTTATTGGGAATGGGTGGCAGAGGCAGTTGATTATCAGGGATCACACGGCGGTCAACGCCCAAGTTTGTCTGGAGGTCATTCCAAATGTTGGTCTAGTAACGTGCAGGCTGGCTTGTGGGGGAAGAAATGGTTAAACCCTGATTTCCCATGCCATTTTTGCTGGGAATGGGACCATTGGGCTCCAGACTGTCCTTGGGTGAAGAATGGTCAGCCACCTCTGGAGGATCATTGTGTCACAAACCCGGGATGGCGTCCTGCTAAGTCAAAATTCATGTCAAGCCAGATAGTCTCACAACAAGACAACATTGCTTCTGTTTCTGTTACACCAGAGGAATCTTCAGACATACTGGTCGATATTGGGGCTACAAATCATGTAACATCCCATCAAGCTTTCTTCACTTCTCTCTGCTCAACTAATATCAGACAACGTGTTGCGTCTCAAGAACGCCTTCCCGTAGAAGGTATTGGTGATGCAATCATCCCTGTTGAGGTGTATGATAGTCTGCTACCATGATGTATCACCACAGTATGGTGGAGCTGTTGGTTTGACCCATGAGCACTACCACCCAACTACCCTGACAGTCACAAGCGCCTGTAGCCTAGTTGGTAAAGGCAGCACTCTAGTATGTGTCTCAGCTTAGCTGAGGTTGTGAGTTTGAAGATCACCAGACACATCTTCATTTTGTCTGTCTCTACAATCCAAACCCTATACGGCAACCTTTGGCTCAGCAACATAATCTTGTCCTCTTGAGTTGGTGGTACAGTTATCTCCGTTGGTTTCTTCAACAAGTGGGACGGCGGTATATCCTTTGTGAATGGATTTTTCGTTTTCTCTCAGTTGAATGTTTCTTTCCCTACGTATCCCCTCAACTAATGTTTGTTTATTCCTTCTCCTAGTCACTCATCCCCCAGTCATGTTCCTCAATTATCCTCAATGTCTATTTACAAGTTATGGCACTCACAACTAAGTCACCTTGGTGTCAGATCTGTCAACCGCACAATTAAATCTGATTCTGTCCACGGTCTACCCCTCAAGAGGCTCTCTTTGTTGCCAAACAAATGTCACTCATGCTTGCTTGCCACAAGTTGTAATGTGCCAATTCAGTTGCCTTCAAGGGAAATTGTGGACAAGCCCGGAGATGCAGTGGCAATCAAGTTGATTGGGCCATTTCTGGCAGCAAGTTTGGCCTGATCATCTACAATGTTTTTTTGAGAATATCTTCTGCAATTGGGCTGAAGACCAAGGCGGATGCTCTTGCAGAAGTGATGAAGTGGGTTGAACAGTTCAACAAACACACTCCACAAGAGGTACGTGCATTCAATTGGATGACGCTGGCAAGTTTATGACAAAACACTTTGAGGATTTTCTGCAGAAGAACAACATCCAACATGAGATGAGCAGATGAGCATCCCATAGAAGCATCATCAAAATGGCTCAGTTGAGCAGAATAACCGGTCCTTACATGACATGGCCAGAAATTCCCTAATTCATGCAAAGCTTCCAGACACTCTTTGGTTTTTGTCACTAAAACATGCTGCATTCATTTTCAATAGGGTTGTACATGGCAAGGATTTTAAGACCCCTTATGAACTGGCTATGGGAAAGAAACCTTCTCTGGACAGGGCTCAGGTGTTCAGATGCCGAGCTTACATGCATGACATTAAGTATCCCAAGCAGTTTGTTCCTCACTCATCTGCCATGATTCATGTTGGTGTCTTAGACGTTCCACATGGCTGGATTTTATGGGATCCAGTAAAGAATACAATTGAATGTGCGGTGTGTTGAGACCAATCAAGGTCATATATAGTACAAAATAGCTATTTACAGTAGTTTTCATGTTATTGAAACCAGATATGCATATGCTACATAACCCTTTATCTTGTATCCAGTTAAGAACATTTTAAGATAGTAGTTTTACACTCATTTGACTACATATTATATGGTACTCCATAGCTACAACATACTAAATATCACACATCTCAAGATACAAATTAGTCTTCCCTCAGTACCCTCTTTCCTATGATAATAATCTTTCAGTAAATATTATTTATTTCATCTCAGATACCACTTAGTCAGACTACATATAATATTTCATCCCATACATCTGCTTTCTCATCCAGATATTTTAATCTCATCTCACTCATCATCCACTTCTTTTCATACATCAATTACTTCATACTACATTTAGTTTATTCTACATTTATTTCATACTATAAGTATTTCATATCTTACATTCCATTTCAACTCATTACACATTGCTTATATCACCTACATTCTCATCCAGTCTCACTTTTATTTCAACTCATTACTCATTGATTATATCACCAACATTCTCATCCTGCCTTACACTTCATTTCAACTCATTACACATTGCTTATATCACCTACATATATATTTCACCACATCATTTCAGAATATTTATTTCAGCTTCTTATTATCTCAGCTTCTCTCACTACATATTATTTTTCATCACAAACATAAATTGTTTCTTTTCAACAATACTTATTCCACATCACCCCTGACATGATTCCCCAGATGGGAAATCCTGTAAAAAAATCAAAAAAATTTAGATTTTTCTAAATTTTTTAGATTTTTTTAGATTTTTTTAGATTTTTCTGGATTTTTCAGATTTTTTAGGGCCTTAATAAAAGAACGTGGTTTTTCTGCATTTTGACATGGTTTTTGCTGCGCGCAGCAAACAGTTTTAAAGGACAAAGGACGGAACAGGTCATGCAAGTTCTTTTGTGAACCAACAAGGGTCAGATTAATGACCACTTCTGAGAGTGTGAGCAACAAGGCAGCAGACCTAGAACAACCGTGGCCAGTGGATGGAGAAGACACAAGTTAAACAGCAAGTAATGATGATATTACTTGATACACACCTTTTGTGAACCAACAAGGGTCAGATTAAACAAGGGAGAAGACCTGAAAGAACAATGAAGAATTGAATGAGATGAAGCAAAAGTGAGATTGAAATGAAATAATGAAATTTTCACACCTAGAAAAACCATGGCAAGTGGATGGAGAAGACACAAGTTAAACAGCAAGTGATGATGATATGAAACTTGAATGAGAAAAGAGAAAGAGTTTCAAGCAAGTGAGAACAAAATAGTAACTAAATCCTGTCTACATTTAGGTTTCAATCTTAATTATCTTTATTTGCGCAACCATTTAATTCTCGTACATAGCCGCCGGCGCAGTGGTTCAGCCAATGAGCATACTTCATTTGGTACTCAAATAGGTTTCTGCGTTTAAAAACAGATTTTTAAAGGGCCTTAATAAAAAACCCGCATTTTCCGTGTTTTGACGCGCTTTTGCTGCGGCACAGCACACGCGGATTCCGTGTTTAAACGCGCTTTTTTAATTAATTTATTTTTGCCATTAATTTCAAGTTTTTTTGATTTTTTCAAGTTGTTTCCTACACTTTAAAAGGTATAGAATTTAATGGTAAGAACCATTTTCCATAAAAATGACTTTTGATTCTTAATTTTTTTTTTCCACTCATTTTTTCCGTTAATTGTTTGCTTTAAGTTTTTTACCTCATTTTTCAAGATTTTGTGTAACTTTAAAGTTGTTTCCTACATTATTAAGTGTGTAGAAATTTCTGGTGAAATCCAATTTTCATAAAAATGAATGGATCATTTTTAATAATGCAATTACACCCATTTTTTCACTTAAATTTTTAGACCTCAATTTTCATTCTTTTTTCACATTTTAAACTTTTTTCCTACACTTTCAGACATGTATAAATTTATGGTAAAAATTATTTTGAATCAAAGTGAGAACTACATCTTGTATACTGCATTTGACACCGTTTTTTTATTTAATTCTTCACTTTTTCACTCAATTGTTTGCATTAATTTTTTTACCTTATTTTTTGTGCTTTTTTGAAATTTGAAAGCTGTTTCCTACATTTCAAAGTGTTGAGAATTTACTGGTAACATTCAATTTCCATAAAACTCAACGGTTCATTCTGAATACTGTAATCAGCCTTAAAATTCAATTGATTTTTAAGAGCTTAATTTTCATGATTTTTTGACATTTTAAATCTGTTTCCTACACTTTCAGACATTTATAGAATTATGGTATAAATCAATTTGCATCAAAATAAAAACTTTACCTTGAATAAAGCCTTGACATGTTTCTTTAATTAATTCTTACGCGCTTAATTATCCTTATTTTATGGAATTTTAAGTTCATTTCCTACACTTTGAAAGGTTTTCAAATTGTTGGCTGTATCCATTTTGCATTCAAATAAAATTTGTATACAGTACAAATTATGCAAGAAATGGTGTACACTCTTATATTAAGATTGAAGCTTTTCTTTTGAGGCAAAATGCATTCTCCCATTAAATTCTACACACTTTTAGGTGTAGGAAATAGATTTAATATTTCAAAAAATGATTAAAATTGAGCCGGTAACAATTAATTAAAAAAACATGAAAAAACCCTGTCCCACGCAGTATTCATTACAAATCTTTGGTTTCTATGCAAAAAGATTTTTACCATCATTTTAACCATGTCTTAAAGTGTGGGAAATAAATTTAAAAAGTGAAAAAATTATGAAAATTAAGCTGTAAAAATTTAAGTGAAAAAAGTGTCTGATTTCAGTATTCAAAGTGAACCGTTGAGTTCTAAAAAGTCTGGATTGCGCCATTAAATTCTGCATAATTTGAAACCTAGGAGATAATTTTAAAACCTCAAAAAACCTTAAAAAATAAAGTACATACATGCATGCAAACAATTAATTGAAAAATGAGTGAAAAAAATAATTAATAATCAAAATTCATTTTTATGGAAAATGGTTTTTACCATTAAATTCTACACCTTTTAAAGTGTAGGAAGCAACTTCAAAAAATAAAAAAAAAAACTCAAAATTAATGGCAAAAATAAATTAATTAAAAAAGCAGGTTTAAACAAGGATTGCGCGTGTGCTGTGCCGCAGCAAAAGCGTGTCAAAACGCGGAAAATGCGGGTTTTTTTATTAAGGCCCTTTAATTTGAATTGTGTTTTTACTACTTATATTTTGAGTTTTTTTTTTTAATTTTAAAATTTTTTCCTCACTTTGAAAGGTGTAGAATTTAATGGTAAAGTCCATTTATCATAAAAATGACTTTTGTTTGCTCACTCATTTTTCAATTAATTGTTAACGGCTTGTTTTTCATTCTTTTTTGACATTGTCACTTTGTTTCCTACACTTTGAAAGGTGTAGAATTTAAAAGTAAAATTTATTTTGCATAACAATTATTTCTTTGCCTTTTGATTTTTGTACCAGCGGTGGGCTGCTACGCTACACTACGCTAGGGGCCCATGGAGCGTTAGCAAAGCGGCGCCAACAACTGCTTTTTTTTTGTGTAGTATTTGCGCGCTGCTGCTGCCGCTGCGCTACGCTAATTTGTAGCAGTGCTAACACTAGTCGTTTGTTGGTGTAGTGTTAGCGCACCTCTGGCGCTGCTACGCTACAGTGTTTTAAGCGGCAAAAAACCCCTAAAAACTGCTAAAAATTGCTGTAA